TGTTAGTAGTCATTATATTGTAGCGATTTGAAGGAGCATAAGATCGAGCCCATTTTGTGAAATCTGCTTCTTCCAAATACTTAGCCAAATGCGGATTAGCAACTTCTATGTCTTTGAAATGTTTAGCAAATTCTACCTGAGTATACGCATTGGCTGCAGATTCAACAAGTGGCAGATATGATTGTCCTCTAAACTTCACTTTGATGATGTTTCCAAGATGAAATCTACATATACCGTGGTGAGCAGCCGGATATAATTCTAAAAGTTCATTCGCAATTGATGGAGCGCGATCAGAGACGAACACTAAATCAGCTGAATCAGGAATAATAGTTTGAAGACACCTGAAAAACCAACTCCAAGATTTGTCATTTTCAGAATCGACAATAGCAAAAGCTAACGGATATAGATGATAATCCCCATCTTGAGCTGTAGCTACAAGCAAAGTTCCCTTGAATTTTGCCTTCAGGAAGGTGCCATCAACAGCAATCACTCTACGCATCAAAGCAAAACCTCTGAGGGACTGGCCATACGCTACAAACACGTACCTGAATTTATTACTCAAAGGATCAACGTCAAGATACAAAACTGATCCGGGATTTTTTTCCTTGGTCATAAACAGCCACTTTGCAATGTTGTGATAACTATCTTCAGGAGTACCTCTAACCAAAAGTTCAGCTGCCTCTTTTACTCTCCAAGCCTTTTTGTAGTTTATGTGAACACTGTATGACATTCTAACCCTTTCTAAAATCTGTTTTGGCTTCAGTCCAGCCTTCTTCTCACCATAGTGACTGCAAAGGAAAGAACCCAACAAATTTGCAGTAGCTTGACGGTGATTTGCATGCCTACATGTTGTATCACAGTTATGCTCATGAATGTAGTGCTTTACCACAAAAAAATCAGAGGATTTCACCTTCGCTGCACGAAGTCTCCAACTGCAAGTGACATCTAAACACCCCAAAATCAATCTAGTTCTATCTGACCATAATGTCCTATACTCAAAATTCCACTCAATCGCCCACTTTCTCATCCTCATCACTAAAGCATATTTGTTAACGAAATGCTTTCCCACAAATATATGATCAGTCACTTAAGTGTGATGAGTATAACCTATTGGAATACAATCAGGAAATCTTTGTTCAGCAGTTGACAAAGTATCACTTTGTAATACTGAAGTTGGGATGCCAGTATCACTAGATTTCTGATTAGCCTACAAAATAAGCACATATTGGCAAAGATTTAAAGTTCTAAGAATGTTGTCGTGAAACTGTTTTGCTTCTACATTGTAAACAAAATCAGTAACCTATACTAGCAAGCAGACCAACAAGACAAAAAAAAGAGCAACAAATACAGACCAGTATTTGATAGAAACATATATCATTCTCCATAAATAAAACTGGGAATGACTTCTTAACTAACATGATACTACCTAAACATACAAATTCCTTCTTATTTAATTCATTCTAAGACATACAAAAACGAACTATATCCTAGAATAAAACACTTTAAAACACTAATGAAGCTCAAGAATCATGTTTTGACTAAGAGATAACCTACCTTTAGTTGTGAAAAACCGTAGGAAGAAGATGCAACACCTTTCAAAAGTAGCAAACTGTCTTTACATTGGTTGGTCTCTGAAAAATTATTTTGAATGGTGCTTTCAACATTCTCAATAGGCTGACACACCTACAAACATAAAAGAAAGTCAAGGAAGACACATATGATTAGACGTTGATCCTTTGAGATGCCAGTATCACTAGATTTCTGATTAGCCTACAAAATAAGCACATATTGGCAAACATTTAAAGTTCTAAGAATGTTGTCGTGAAACTGTTTTGGTTCTACTAGCAAGCATAGGTTACTCTTGAACAAAATTGGGAATAGCAAGATTGCGAGAATGATATTTGATAGAAACACATGTCATTCTCCATAAATAAAACTGGGAATGACTTCCTAACTAACATGATACTACCTAAAACATACAAATTTCGTCTTATTTAATTCATTCTAAGACATACAAAAACGAACTATATCCTAGAATAAAACACTTTAAAACACTAATGAAGCTCATGAATTTTTGACTAAGAGATAACCTACCTTTAGTTGTGAAAAACCGGAGGAAGAAGATGCAACACCTTTCGAAAGTAGCAAACTGTCTTTACATTGGTTGGTCTCTGAAAAATTATTCTGAATGTTGCTCTCAACATTCTCAATAGGCTGACACACCTACAAACATAAAAGAAAGTCAAGGAAGACACATATGTACAAATGGTGATTTTACTTTGCATTTAAGAAATATTGATAGAATTTACTTACCGTAACACACAAACGGTTAAATTTAAAGTCTTCTTGAACCTTCCTGATAAAAGTTTGAACTTGACGATCATTTCGCAAATACAAAGGTGGAGGATTTTTCATTTTCAAACTTGGAGAGAGTGCATAGCTAAGTTTTAGCTCTGTGATCACACAATCTAGTCCGAAATCTTCTATTACCATCTCAGCCAAAGTTTTAAACGTCACATTCTCATCGACTTCACTAAGGGAACCTCCCTTTTGCGAATCCAAAACAAAATGCCATCCCCCATTCACCTTTTGTTGCCACTCACCACAAACTGAATACAATTCTAACATATCCACGAGTTTGACCAAAAGCACCACCTAGGTTTCACAAAATCCAGCTTGATCAATTAGTTCTGAAATCCACAAACACAAACAACGATTGATTCAAATCCTGAAAAGCATCTAATCGATTCCCGAATCCAACATAATCAAATCCAAAAGCAAAAACAATCTCTACAAACTAATCACCTAACTTGCTTACTTGGAATCAAATTACCTAACTTCGTGGTCACATAATCGAATCGAAGCTCAAATCCAAACACAAACAAAGATTCTTCAGATAGACACCTAAATCAGCAGATAAACACACTAATTATACGATTCAGCACCTAATCGAATCTAGAGCAACACCTAATCAAATCCAAAGCAACACCTAATCAAATCGAGAGTCGAAGCTGAATTGATGACACCACCTAATCGAAGCTTAAAACTACAAAAATAGTGAAGACAACGACGAACAGAGGAACCTTACGGCGACGATGGAAGCTTGAAGAAGATCGTGAAACACAAACTCGCCGGCGGACACTAATAGGAAACTCACCGGCGTTCAACAGCGATCTCGTCGCCGATGGTGTGACACAAAGGCAAAATGTTTGTGTTTTGTGGGATATAAAGAAGGGTGTTTTTAGTCTTTTTACTTTAAAACTAATGGCATTTGTGTCAAATTATGCAGTGTGTGGTATAAGTGTAAGAAGAACTTAAATGATGCTAGATTAGGGAATTTCTCTTGTATATGTCGTACCCTTATAAATATTATTGTATCTCTTGTCAAACTAATGAAAAGTAAGTTAAAATTTATAAATTAAAC